CTGCGAGCCTGACACACAGACGCTTGCAGACAACTAACTGCTATTCAATCTATTACAGTGAAAACTATTTTTTTTTTTAAATGCAAGCTATTGTGACACAAGTGAGTGAGTGGTGGCACTGGGCAAGTGGGCACAGTATACGCTGCGAGCCTGACACACAGACGCTTGCAGACAACTAACTGCTATTCAATCTATTACAGTGAAAAACTTTTTTTTTTTAAATGCAAGCTATTGTGACACCAGTGAGTGAGTGGTGGCACTGGGCAAGTGGGCACAGTATACGCTGCGAGCCTGACACACAGACGCTTGCAGACAACTAACTGCTATTCAATCTATTACAGTGAAATACATTTTTTTTAAAATGCAAGCTATTGTGACACCAGTGAGTGAGTGGTGGCACTGGGCAAGTGGGCACAGTATCCACTGTGAGCCTGACACAGAAGCTGGCAGACAACTACCGGTAACTGCTATTCAATCTATTATAGTGAAAAAACATTTATTTATTTTTAAATGCAAGCTATTGTGATACCAGTGAGTGAGTGGTGGCACTGGGCAAGTGGGCACAGTATCCACTGTGAGCCTGACACAGAAGCTGGCAGGCAGGCAACTGCAATTACATTACACAGAAAAAAAAGCAGACTGATGTTCTAGCCCTAAAAAGGGCTTTTTGGGTGCTGTCCTTACAGCAGAGATCAGATGAGTCCTTCAGGACTGTAGTGGACACTGTATACACTAACCTAGCTATCCATTTCCCTATCAAATCAACAGCAGCTACACTTTCCCTCCTCTCACTAAGCATGCAGCTTGAGAATGAATCTAAAATGGATGCTGTCCAGTAGGTGGGAGGGTCTGCTAGGGAGGGTGTGCTGCTAATTGGCTGGAATGTGTCTGCTGACTGTGAGGTACAGGGTCAAAGTTTACTCAATGATGACGAATAGGGGGCGGATCGAACCGCGCATATGTTCGCCCGCCGTGGCGAACGCGAACACGCTATGTTCGCCAGGAACTATTCGCCAGCGAACCGTTCGGTGCATCACTATATACTAAAGATATAAAAAGATAAAGGATGCCATTTGAAGACACACGATTCTGTTTAAAAATAAAAACAAAAACACAACCAAAATACTGATAAGAGAGGAGAGAGAAAGAGAAAAACAGGATTAATTGAAATACAATTAAATGTGATATAATGCCTTGAGATCTCATCATATAGCCGGAATGTATATATAAAAAGTATATATGTATATTAAAAACATATATTAATGTATTAATTAGAAATATATATTAAAAAAAAAATATATATATATATATAAATATATATGTAGATGAATAATCACATAAATAAATAAAGATATCTATTAAAAATATATATTAAAAGGATATATATTAAAAGAGTATCTATTAAAGATATATATAAAAAAGCAAAAAGTACTAAAAAAGATGATAATGAAAAAGTATATGTGTAGTGACAAAAAAGTGTAGAGATGGGGATATACATAGATAAATATAGGTATGAGAATGGAAGTCTATATCCAGTAATGAGAAAAAATGATATATAAGATATAGTGTGTACCAGGGTGGGTACCAAAAACCGTGAGAATATAGATGATGGGGGAGTGAAACATACAATGGGTGTAGAGTGAAATAGCAGGATGTCGGTATGGACATAGGTGGGATGAATTGTGAAATAAAAAGTGCAGATGTAATGAGGGTGAAATGATGCAGGTCAGTGTAGGTGAAAAAAAAAAAATTAAAATATTATAAAATAAAAAAGATTATAGGATAAAAATGAAGCAGTAAAAGATGAAGTAAAAATAAAGTTAAAAAATAGTTATAAAAATTGAGTCCCTTGGGGACTAATGTATCGAGCTCAAAAATCCACCTAGCTTCTGTCTGGTCGAGAGACTTATCAATGCTACCTCCTCTCCAATGTACATTGACCTTCTCTATGGCTGTGAATTCTAAACCTGCGGGGTCTCCCCCATGTAGCTCTTTGAAATGTTTGGAGAGATTGTGGGTGAGAAGTCCTTTTCCAACATTCCTAATGTGTTCTGCTATGCGTACTTTCAGAGGTCTTTTTGTGCGTCCAATATAATGTTTTGGACAGGGGCACGTGATCAAATAGATAACTCCCATGGTATCACAACACATATTACCCTTAATGGTGTATTCTTCCTGTTTACTCAGTGATGTGAATTTAGTAATCAGTCCCCCAGATGAACTATTATTCTTACAACCGAGGCACTTAGTGCATTTTTTAAAACCATGGGTGGAATCTTGACCTAAACTCTGTGTATGGGATTTGGTAGTGGGTGCTAGCATAAGTTGAAGATTGGATCCCCCAATGTTTTCTTAAAATCTTCTGAATCCTGAGAGATTGATGGTTGTATTTTGTAATAAAGCTAGGTGCAAGCGTATGTGGTTCTGTGGTCTTCTCTTTTTCACGTAGGGTATCTTCTCTCGGGATGGATACAACCTTCTCCATTGCTTCCTCCAGTAATTCTGTAGGATAACCTTTATCTAAAAATCTTTTTCATTTCATCCATTTGGTTCATACAGACGTCTAATTTGGAGCAGTTGCGTTTAATCCTCCTAAATTGATTTTAAGGTATGTTCTTCAGCCATGTAGGTTTGTGGTGACTGCTAAAAGGAATAAAACTATTACAAACACTTTTCTTGAAAGTCTTTGTATGAATCTTTCCTTCTTCGATATAAATACAGAGGTCCAAAAACTCGATATGCTCTTTGGAGTGGTTAAAAGTGAATTTAAGATTATAAGGATTATTGTTAAGGTATATCTTAAATTCTTACAGAGATGGTAAATTGCCTCTCCATATAAAAAAACAGTCGTCAATGTATCTTCGCCATAGGGACAGGTTTGCGCCAAAAGGGCAGTGGGTCCATATGGTCTCCTCTTCCCACTTGCCCATAAACAGATCAGCGTAACTTGGCGCAAAACGTGTCCCCATGGCTGTGCCTTCTATCTGGAGGTAAAAAAATATAGTTATGTGTTAAAATGAAAGCAATGCATTGTATTAAAAAATCAATCTGGTCATTCTTAAGTTCTGAATATGTAGCTAGGGAGAATTGTATAGCTTCACATCCATGGAGTTGTTCGATTACAGTATATAGAGAAGTGACATCTGCAGTGACTAAAAACATATCCTCATCCCAGTTAAAATCAGATAAAAGATTTAAAATTTGTGTAGAATCTTTCAAATAAGATTTGAGACAGGAGACCAAACGTTGTAAATAGTGATCCACATATTCGGAGAGATTCGCCGTCAGAGATCCAATACCAGATATAATTGGCCTACCGGGAGGTTTCTCCAACCGTTTATGGATTTTTGGTAGATGGTAAAAGATGGGTGTTCTAGGGAATTGGATGTTGATATATTTGAATTCCCTTTCATTCAAGATGCCTCTTTCTTTTCCATAGTTGAGTATCTCTTTAAGTTCTTCTTGATATTGTACAGTAGGGTCCTTCTCTAGTCTTTGGTAGGTGTCCATGTCGCCTAGTAGTCTCCTATTTTCTTCTAAATAGTCCTCAGTATTGAGGACAACCAGGCCTCCCCCTTTGTCCACTGCTTTGATTGTGATGTCCTCAAGTTTCATTGGCTGTTTTAATGCGTACCTCTCTTTTTTGGTTAGATTATCCTTAGTGATCCTATTGGTGATCTTTTTCCTGAAGTCTTTCTCTACCATTTTCTCAAACACTTTTATAGAATCATTCTTAACATGCTGTGGGTAGAATGTTGAGGTGGGGTGCAATTCTGTATGTGTGTAGTCTTGTTCCACCTCTTGTTTAACTGTGTCTTTGTCCAAGAAGAATTTTTTGATGTAAATCTTGCATATAAACTTGTGTAAATCTATGCAGACATCAAATCTAGAGCTTTTAGATGTGGGGGCGAACTTCAGACCCTTCTTGAAAATGGATATTTCATCTGGGTTAAGGGTTCTGTATGATAAGTTAAAGATGTTTACTTCCTCCTCTTCAGTTGGATCAGATCCCCGTGTGTGTCCATTTCTTCTTCTCAATCTCTTATGGTTCTTTTTCTTCTGATGTCCAGAGACTTGAAGTCTTCTGCTGAGAATCTTTTGGGGGGGGATCCTCCCCCGTGCTTCTAAAAAAATGTTCTCACTGATGATTATTATTGATTGATTATTTTTATTTTCTTTATTTTTTATTTTATTTTCATTTTTATTTATTATTTATTTTTTACTATCTCACATTTGTTCATCCACTTATTTTGCATCTATTTACATTCATATTGCTTTTACTCTGATATCCAGTTTTCCCTTAAAGGTACAGCATCCCTATTAGTATACCTTCTTTTATAGATATTTTAGCTTTTTGTAGCCGCATTCTAGGCTAGCTCCTGGTATCTCCAGACACCTTTGGTGTCCTTTTTCTAGTTAATCCTATAAGATGAATGGAACATCTGCTATGTGATGAACTGAATGTCCCATAAATGCCTGCTAGAAAATGGTCTATGGGATATGTACAGCTCCTACTAAAAATACTAAGAGCATCAGGACTGCTTTGAGTGCTCACTGCTGAAGCAAACCTCAGCATTTGTAGCAAATGCAGGACCTTCAAAGGTGACTGTTTGTTTTTTAAATTTAATTTGTTTGTATTTTGTAGCATGGTTATTTGATAATTGTATTATGTTCAAAATGCACTAAAAAGTGGGATCATATTCAGCCTAGTGTAACTCTTTAAATATCTGTCCAAATACTGGAGTGTGGAGGTATTAACAATCTTTATTAAAATATCAGGGGTTGGTATTTTATTTGCGCTAATTCCCAACTATTAATTTAAAAGCGAAGAGTTCCCACTATTTAATTCTTAGATCTAGAGCACGTTGTTCAAATTTAATATTTCACACATTAATATCACAATATTTTTTAATAAAACTTTTAATATTTATTTTTGTCAAGAAGTGTAATTATACATGGCAATTAGTGAATAGTTTTTCAATAATATTGAACAAGATATGTCATAGTACAGTATCACAATCTCAGTAAAGCAATTTTAAGCTATTTAAAGTGATAGGATTGTTAGTTCATGACAACTTCAATCAACAGGGTTAGTCTATGGAATATGTTCTTCATACACTATGATTGAGACAATCGACAAATAGAATGTTACTATTTGTTAAATTATAAGGAACCATATGAGTTTATCAGCATATGGATTATGATAATTTAAAGACAGAATTTTTCAGGATCTTAAAATACAATCTTAGCTTTTTACTTCTTAGTACTAATTACAAACACATGTGGATTTTTGCATATTGTAAACACCATTTATTAGATTTACTCAGGTGATCTATACACAAAGTTCTACAACAATGTTTTACCAGCTAGCACAGAATTTTAACCAGCTCAGTGCTGTTTCAGAGTAATTCATTATGATTAATTAATTCATCCAGTAACTAAATTTTTGCAGGTTTAGTTAAAACAGTTCTTATCTGGTAAATACTCTATATATTGTTATAGGATTTATATTCTAATGGGTAACTTGATATTAAAATTTTTTATTTCATGATTTTGATTAATATTCCAGTCTGCAGTTTGAGGTATTAATCTTTATCACGAGCTATCATGAAACCTAATCTGGCGGATTTCATATCCGCTTTTACCCAGAAAATATTAGCTTTTAGTTATGTAATTTTATAGTTAGTGTAATTGGCTTTTATTTACCTATAGATGTTCTGGATGTTATTTTTAAGATTGTTTCAAGATGTCTTCTTGTCCGCCTCTTGTCTTGTGTCCTATCTCCTTTCTTTTCTGTGTGTGTCTCTTTCTGTGTATCTTTTAGGTGTCCTTTTCTTAGGTATCTCTTAGGTGTCCCCTGTGTGTCTATATCATGGGGTTATATGTCATTCCTTATCTGTTAACCTTCTGACCTGGTCCAATTATATAATATTCCTATATGTTTCAAACAGTAGGTGGAGCTGTTGGCTTACCTCAGGAATGTTATATAGGGTTAATTCTTTTTCAGGACAATTTAGGAATGTTTAATTTCAAGATGCTTTTAGTCAAAAATTCTTTCTATGTGGACTTTGCTTGTTCAACCAATGTGTCCTTGTTCGCCTAAGTGTTATTGTAATTGCAGTTATGGAACTTAATTTATCTCTTTGCTATTTACATTTTTATATGTTTATAGTTTCTCTATATGTATAGATTACCAACTTAGGATATATCACACTATATTTCCATTTTTATATATATATGCCTCATAGCAATATATTTGCGTTTGCTGAACACCTACTTTTAATTAACACATACTTATTATTATTGTTATTATTGCCATTTATATAGCGCCAACAGATTCCGTAGTGCTTTACAATATTATTAGAGGGGGGATTTAACTATAAATAGGACAATTACAAGAAAAATTACAGGAACGATAGGTTGAAGAGGACCCTGCTCAAACGAGCTTACAGTCTATAGGAGGTGGGGTATAAAACACATTAGGACAGGATATAGCAATCAAATAAGGTGGGAGTGAAGCAGAGCTGGAGGAGAGAGTAGAGTGCTGCCCTTTAGGAGAGAGCAAGAGACAGGTATGTGAGGTAGAGTCTATGAGGCCATAGGCTTTCCTAAAGAACTTGTCTTATCTGTGTTCTTATCTCTTATTGGCAAAGATGTAGTTACTCACTTTCAGGCTCTTTTAGCTGACAGAGGTGCTTTGAGAAAAACATCTTGTTTCTTCATTTTAGCACCTCATGGTACATTAGCTAAATTGCGTTTTTGCTATTATGCATGTATTATTTTTATCACACACTATATACGTATTTCCTTCCTACACAATATCTCTGACATTGTACTTGAACCCAAATCCACCCAGACCAACAGTCACGTTATCGAAATAAATAATGATTTTAGTAATGCTAACATGCAAAATTACCAGTAATGCACTTGATGTACATGAAAGTGAACTTTACATTATAGCAACAGTCAAATTCTAAGCAAAATATAAAAAGTTAGCTTATACCGTTCCAGTATAACTGATCATAAATTATCTAATAACTACATGATCAAAACTGATAAGTATCATACCCCCACCTAATATGGAATTGCATAAATCATTAAATTATTAAATTAGTTTCAATCTATGTCTTTTTGCGTTTCACTGGGAAACATTGACTAACGTAATATTTGATTTAAACGCCACTATGTCCACAATCAAATCCCAGTGTTATTTAAAAATTATATTCAATTTCCATTCAAAATATGGTTTTCATGTGGCATGTAATGCATGGTGGCACCCATAGCCAATATTGAAGAGTGCATAGTTTAGATATCGTGTAAAAAATTTCTATAGCATATCACAATCTATAGGTAAACAGTTTAACTTCTTTAGAGAACGTGGAAGATATATTTAAAGTATTTAAATAATTTTACAGTATTGATTCTCCTGATATTTTTATTTCATACATATCATTTTATTAAGTCAGACATTGACACAACGTCAAGTTTAGCTAATGCAGCAGGACTTCTTCTCTTCCTCTTCATACTCTATAAGGTATTCTGGATAAATCTGTTGTTTTTCAAACACCACGTAGATAGTCGGTTGGTATATGTTGTCCACACAGCTGTCATAAAAGTGGGTCATGCTCCCAGATTTGGATGGTGGCCGTCTTAGATTAACATTCCCAGTTATATAATCTCCTATTAGCACACGGGCCACAAACATTGTCCTTTTACCATCACTGTTTTTTGGTGAATAGTTATGAGAGTAAGAGGCATCTCTGGAAAAGTAACTTCCTGTAGGGTAAAAAGTAAGAGCAGTATTATAAATAGATCTGGAGATCTTGCAAATAATAGCACCACAACTTGCTGACCATCAGAGCAAGAATATATATATTCCAAATGCAGGTATTCTAGATCATGAAAAGCCCATGCAAATAGTCCATCTGGTTCTCTTACTTACTGTTATTGTTTAATGGAACACGCCAAGCACCATAACTACTACAGGAGTACCATGGTG